CACACACACACACACACACACACACACACACACACACACACACACACACACAAAGCTTATGAATATGCAGGTCATAAATGTATTCAAACCAAAAGCTCTTTGAATTTAAAGATTATATATTAACAAGGCCCTGAAGAATGGGGACAGATCACCACTGCATAGAGCTTTGCAGTGATTTTAAACACACTGTTACACACATTTCATTTGGTCCACATGATGAGCCAGTGAGGGAAGCACTGAGCCAGAGAACCTGACATAAAACAAAGCAAGTACAGCTATGTAGCTGAAACTCTGTACAGAGATCTCAGGCTCTCACTACCAGCTTCTTAGCAAAGCAAGGCTCCTTACTCCTGTGAGCCAGGCTGATGTGGTTGTTTGAGATCTTATCACTCCTGGAAAGGGAAGAAGTGAAATTCGTGTGGCCTTCTGGAAAAGATCAGGTATTTTGTCTTCTACTTGGGGATTTGATTCTTCTTGACAAGGGAATGGACTTGATGAGCTAATGTAAGGAACCAGTTCTTACAGACTTGGTTTGTTTTGAATTGTATTTGTGAGGTTTGTTTTAAGATGTGTCTACCTGTCACCGTGACATACACCAGTGTATATGTGTTGAAGCACCCCCTTTAAGAACACTCCACCACAAAAAGGGGCCTGAAAACTTTGTAGTTAACCTCTGCCCTTCCAGATGAAGACACTCTTTTCTGTATGCCTCTAGCCACACCACTAACTGACATAGCCCTGACGTTTTAATAGGGATGGCAGAAAGCTCCAATGGATAGTATCCTTTAAGCCTCAGAAGACTCTTGAAGCCTATGGGCCTAAATCTTCCACTTCTGAAGCAAAAGGTAGTGGATTTCATGATTTCTCATGTCCCTTTCTCACATTAATTCTGTCACCCAATGGAGCTGGATCTTTACTAGATTTCTAAGGAAAGGTCCCTTTGGGCAAAGAAGGAGATGCTGAAAATCTCAGGAAACCCAGAGATTCATTCATCCATCTGTGAGAGTGACCAGAATTCCTCCTTCTATTACAGCCAGTTAGTAAATGACTTTGTGTGTCAATGGGCTGTTACTGTGGACCCACTTGTGATTTGGGGGCTCTATTTGTGACTTCAGTTCACAAATTTGGCTGCATCTCTTATTCATTCATTCACATATTCTTTCATTCATTCACTCAATACATATTTTTTCATGTAACTGTGTTCCATGTACCAACTATTACTAACTAGATGCTAATATTTAATATGTGTAGTTAAATGGCAGCTACAATGTTAAGCAACATGCATATTTCACCTCCTACTCTTCCCAAGAACTTAGAAGGCAATTATTAATAATATCTCCTTTTTATAGGTGAGAAAATGGAGGCTGAAGTTAGAAGAAACACTACAGCAGCTATCCCACATTAGACAGTCTGACTCCAGAGACCAAGATGTTGACCATGGCACTATACTGCCTCTGGGAAATTCAAAGGTGAGTCAAGCATGGCCCATACCTTCATGAGCTCATAGTTTAGAAGAAGAGGCAGAATTGTAAAATAAGCACAGTGAAACTAAATGTTATCCTAAAGGAATGTGCTCTTGAAATAGCATGGGGGGAGGGAGTATCCTAGACTGCCTGGTGGAGAGTATGCGAATCAGGGAGATCACCATTGTGTCACAAGAAAATGAGCATTCAAACTGGGATACAAACTTCAATTACTCAAACATTCTTTAATAAAAAGATAAAATACAGCTGAAATCACTGTCAACAGGCTTATAGCTCTTATGGAACAGGTCAGCCCTCATTGGCAAGAGAGATATGAGATGCTTCCCAATAAATTATAAATGACGGAAACTTTGCCCTCAGAGAGGTAAAGTATCAGCTATACAAACCTGAATAGTGTCTCAGTCCACTTGTACTTTTATGACAAAAAATTATAGATGGAGTGACTTATAAACAACAGAAATTTAATTCTAATAGTTCTGGAGCCTGGAAAGTCAAGATCTAGGCGCCAGCAGATTGGGAGTCTAGTGAAGGCCCACTTCCTGGTTCATAGATGGCCATCTTTTTGCTATAACCTGACATGTCAGAAGGAGTGAGAGAGCTCTCCAGGGTCTCTTTTCTAAGGGCACTAATCCCATTCATGGCACCTCTGCCCTCATGATCTAATCAGTTGCCAAAGGCCCCACCTCCTAATACCATCACTTTAGGGGTTAGGATGTCAATATGAATTTGGGGGAGGACACACAAATATTCAGTCTATAATAAATAAAAATATACAATGTCCATGAGGTTCTAGCTCCCTTACAGGGCAAACCTATCTGAAAGTGTTAACATAGGTAAATAAGAAACACTCCTGGGGGTGCCTGGGTGGCTCAGTCGGTTAAGCGTCTGCCTTTGACTCAGGTCATGATCCCAGGGTCCTGGGTTCGAGCCCCACGTTGGGCTCCGTGCTCAGCGGGGAGTTTGCTTCTCTGTCCCCACGTGCCCCTCCACCCTGCTCATGCTCTCTCTCTTGCTCACTCTCTCTCAAATAAATAAAATCTTAAAAAAAACACAAAAAACCACTCCCATCAGAAAGAATGATCAGCCATGTTTGGTGGTCTTCAACAAGGAGAGATTCAAAACTACAGATTGATGCTGCCCCTCTCGGCACTGTTTAGGAGAGAGTATGCCCTTTTAGGCCAAAGCTAGCAATCCAATGGGTCCACTCACATCTGGATGTCAATTCCTGATGACCACAATAAACATCCCCATGGTAGAATAAACTCCCCTATTTCTGATCCCGTAACTTTGCTTCCCCGGGAGCTTGTCTACAAGGAGAAAGTGCTTTGGTCAGCCAATTTGTACATCTGCTTGGGCTTGACAATAACATTTCTCAGTGTAAAATAATAAATAAGCCTCCTAGCTTCCGTATAAAATAATAAATTAGGCTTCTACAAAAGCTAGGTGAGAAAATTGAGACACAGAGAGGTACGACAGATTCTCAGGAATTCTCTCTGTAACTCTTCTTAAATTATCATCATCAAAGTAAGACATCACCACAGGCAGGGCACTCCCCAGATTGCATGGAGCCCTTATCTACATAAACAATTTGATTAAAAAATAGGTTACAAAATTCATGGGCTCCTGTGAGGTACAGGGATTTTGCAATGGAGACTTGAAATACCAGGTAGAAAAGAGGTCTTCATGCATTTGCTTATTGTTCAGTAAGTGCACATGAAGATCCTTCCAAGTGTCTAAGCACCAGGAAGAGCTAACACCTATTTTCTCTTTGTGTTCTTTATTGTCAAATGCACTGTTTCTGCCAAATTTCATATCTGTCACCATAGGAAAAATGGAGTAATGTTGGTATTACTGATGATGCCTTGGCTCTTCAGAACCCGTTTCTATTGAAATGATTTAGATGTTGCCTCTGCTTATTCCTCATACTGCTGATTTAATGCCGGTGAAGTCTTCATTCATGACACTGCATCATTCATCTAGCTATTTGTAAATATTGGCTTCCAGTGACACTCTCAAATATAGTTACTGGGGTTCATTGATGATGACCACAAATGCAAGTCTTACTAAGAGTATGTAGGAATGTATGAGCAATAATTCATTTTCTTGTCATAGTGAATTTATCACTTGGAATTTTATAGCATCAACATAGAAGAGCACATCTTCCACGTATATCTTCTTTTGAACTCTTTAGGCCATCAACAGTGTCTTTATAGATTGTGATCTCTTTCAATGTTGACTGCACTCCTGCCTTCCACACGCCTCCATTAACAGGGGATGTGGGTGAGGGGCCTGGGCAGCTAGAATACTGGTCTCATTCACACACAGAATGTTCACTATTTATCTGGCAGGGATTCAGACCCACCCAGGAGAGGGTGAGGTCATTAACTGAAAAGGTCTGTTGGCATCATGGAATAAAAGCTTTAAAAGCCCTGTAGAAACAGGTGTGGCCACCATAGAGAACTACCTGACATGTGGTATGGATGCTTTGGAGGGGTGGGGTGACTGCCCAGTGTACCAATAGGAAGCCAGATTGCCACCCCTGCCACCTTTGGGTGTTGCAGCCCAGAGGCAGCCTCATGGTCAGAACACAGATGGGTCAGAGCAAAAGCATGAACCCACCATGCAGCTATAGGCCAAGAGTTGATGGTGGACCTCTGTTAGCCCAGAGCCCTGAATTCAATCTGTGTCAAACGCGAATAAGCACCACCCAAATTCAGTATGTCAGCACCATCCTAGAGGCCCAATTCCAAGAAAAGGAATCACCTGCTGGCCAAAGGGAACAATCTGCACACTGGGCCACTCTGGTAAGCATTAGTTAGGGGCAAACTATTGTCAAACTACTGTCCCAAAAAATTAGGGACAAACTATGAATTTGTGTCCCCAAATACATAAGTTGAAATCCTAACTCCCAATGTGATGGTCCTAGGAGGTGGGCCTTTGAGAGGTGATTAGGCCATGAGGATAGAGCCCTCACAACTGGGATTAGAGCCCTTGTAAGAAGAGACACAGGAGCTTACTCTCGCTCTCTGCCCTCCACCATGCGAGGAAACAAGAAGACGGTCATCTCAAAACAGGAAGTGTGGTCAACCTGGACACTAGACTGCTGATGCCTTGGTCTTGGGACTTCTAGGTCCCAGAACTCTGAGAAATAATTTCTGTCATTAAAGCCACCCCACCTTTGGTAGTTTGTTACAGCAGCCTGACTGACTAAGCCAGTTACGTTATATAAATACAAACCTCGGGGATCTTAAATTTTGGTTCTTAAATCTATTGAAGATAGATTCAGGAGACCTGATATTTTTCTTTAAAGATTTTATTTATTTATTTGTCAGAGAAAGAGAGAGACAGACAGAGCGTGCGCATGTGCGCACACACACACACGAGTGGGGGGAGGGGCAGGCCGAGGAAGAAGCAGACTCCTTGCTGAGCAAGGAGCCCAATGTGGGACTCAATCCCAGGACCCTGGGATCATGACGTGAGCCAAAGGCAAATGATTAACCAACTAAGCCACCCAGGTGTCCCTGGTTTTTTCTTATATTACTCTTTATTTTGATATCATTTTAAACTTATAGAGAATTTACAAAAATAGTACATAGAATGCTATATATCCTTTATACAGATTTGCTAAAAGTTTGCATTTTGTCTCATTAGCTTTATCATTCTATCTATAATATATAATATATACATGTATGTATATGTAGATACATATTTATAAACACATTCATTTTTATATATACATTGTATGGATATATATATATATATATTATATTTATATATCCATGCATTTTTCCTCTAAACCACTTGAGAGTGATGGAGACTCTAAATGTTTGTCTCTAAATATATTACGGTGTATTATCCTAAAAAGAAAGACATTTTCTTACACACATTATAATTACCAAAATTTTAAAAATTAATATTGATAGAATATAGTTATCTAAACCACAGTCTATTTAAAGTTTTGTCAATTGTCTCAACAATTGCTGAAATCCTTAGACTATATAGATAACTTGTTTCTCATCAAGACTTTTCATTCTCTAACTTTAGCATCCATTGATAACTTTATAAATCAATCAGTTCTTCTGTATTTATTATCATTCTAGTTAAAGAAGAACTTCCCTTTCTTCCCCATTTGTTTATTTACATCAGTATAGAATTAGAATTTTTATTCCACTCAATGGGTTATAATGTTCTACACTTATTTTGATGTTCAAATTGTCCCAGGTTTAAGAAACATGGACTTTAATACCACTTCTGACCCTAAGAAGCTATGTGAACTGGGGCAAGTCACTTAGCCTTTCGAGTTCCAGTTTCCATTTTGCAAGACAAAGGAGCTACGCTAGAAAATCATTAATTTATTTTTCTTATGTAGGCCTCAAAAACTAAGATACCTAATTTTCCTTCTCTTCCTTTCTAGAGGCTTTTTTTTTCCCTTGTTGTTTTTGTTTTGAGAGTATTTTTTAGTCTGCTTTTAAAATCATCTAAATAGCCATAATAGTGGATCATCAGCCAAAAGCAGCACATGTGATTAGCTAGTTCATTTATTTCTTAGCATGAGGAGAAGGAGGAGTAGAGTATGGCCTTTTGTATCAAAAGGATGGAATAAATTGAAGACCTCTGACCCTCAGCAGGAAATATTTGCTGCCTCCTCTGACAATGGCAGCTCTGCTCACATGGGCCATTGTTCTTGGAACTAATGGCCAGAGAAGAAGCAATTCTCACCACCTCTTCATCTTCCCTCACTTCCCTACCATTTCCCCACCCGCCGAGATGCCTAACTCCCCAAGCTCTGCGGTTCTGTCTTTCCCTTACATGCTTTATGACCAGGGTGGGTTTGGTTTTATTAATGAGAACTGGCAGGGTGATTTGGAGAGGAAGTGACATGTGAGGTCCCTTTTGTGCTCTCCAATGACTCTATTACAGGCAAACAGGAGGAAGGCTTCTGTTCACAACTGCATGGTTAGGGTGTCATGTATGTTGTGTGTGTGGTATGTGTGCACGCCAACATGCCCATACACATACTGTGCAAGAAACACCAATTAATACCGAATTTTTCATTTCTGCTTTTTAAAAAAAAATCAGATACTGTGAGATGTACATTGCTATTTAACTGAGTTATAATTTTATTCTTTGGTTGCAATGCTGATGAAACTAATTAGGACCACTTTTAATGAGAATTAAGGCCAAAGGAACAAAGGTAAAAAAAAAATGAGGAGCATATATATGAAAAAATGCTTCCTTTGGTCATTTACTATCAAGGATTTCTGGCAGTTTTGCTTTCTCATTCTTCTCGCTTACACCCAGGTCAGTAATGGAGCAGACTAAACAGAAAGGGTTTGTTCTTTGCTTCTTTGTTTTAAATATTCCTATCAGCTTCCTAGTGTACTGTCGATCTCACTATGAAAACAGTTCTTACCTCATCTTTCTTAGGATTATGATTTGGGGAGGAGAAGAAGGAGAAATTATTTATAGACATTTAAATTTTGTTTTCAGGCAAAAACAAGCCCTGGGAAATACATTTCCTATGACAAGATTCCCTGTCATTTGAAAATACAGACATTTTTTTTTGCTAACATCCCTAGACGTTCCGTTTTTTGAGGAATTCCATGCAGAAACCTATGTTAATCTAAATATCGATTGTACACAAGAGTTGAGGTGAGCTCCACTACAAATCGGAAACCAAACAATATCTTAAAAAAGATTAAGAATATGGCGAACACATAGCTTTTATTCCATCCACTCAGCATATTAGTGTACAGATATTTTGATTATGCCAGCAATCTGCAGAAACCTTTCTGAATGGAGGAGCTTCTAGAATATAATGACTCCAAGAAAATGAGTTATTCTTGTTATCAATTGGGGACAGTCGCCATTCATGCTACAGAAGAAAGCAGATCTATTGCAGAGCATGAAATTAAATTTTCCAGGTAGCAGCAAGTAATTGATACCGTGGGGCGACCTTTGCCCACAACAGCCAATTTCAATCTGTAGAGAACAGCAATAGGGCCAGCTACCCTGTTTGACCCCCACAAGCTGAGCTTGAAAAACAAGACATTTGAGTAACTTCAATTTCTCTCTCATAAATGCTCCCCATTTTTGTTACCTTTGTTCTCTCAGCCTTTGCTCTAATTCGTATTTCCCTGATGGTCTTATACATTTTTTATGAAATTATTAACTCATCCACCTAAGACACTAAGTGAGAATCAGTTTTATCAACTTACTCTGTGGTTCAGAGTTTTGGGGGTTTTGTTTGTTTGTTTTCTTGCTTTTTGGTTTCTCTGGAGTTTTTCTGTAATATGACTTTAATTTTTCTGGGTTTTCAGATCCTACCTTTAAAAATTTATCATCAGAAAGGTTTTTGGAAAATAGAAAAAGGTAAACCTAGATAAACCACACCTTTTTTTCTTATGGAATACTCACTTATATATTCAAAATTAATTGGTTTCTTCTGCATTGTGGCAGAGCATCTATCTCCAAGAATGAGTTTTAGGATATTAAATTTATTTAAAGATGAAGTTTAGAGAGGAAAGGCAACCAAAAGAAAAGAAAGTATGTGCTTGGCTTTGGGAATTATTTTAAAACTAAATTGGAAATTCATTCCATAATTTATTGCTAGTCTTGAAATTTTTAACATGGAGTATGCAATAGCTCCCAAATTAGGACTATTTGGTTCAAAGCTCCAGACCATTTTAAACCCCTTAGGTTAGGAAAATGGACTGAAAGCACTAATGTAGCAATTTAGGGCATAAATTATGTAAGTGCAAAAAGCAGACCAGAAGATCACAGCAACTTGAGCCAATTTAGATTTTAATCAGATTTCTCATTCCAACTTTAATTAAAGTGTTTGACTTAGAAAAATGGCTATTAGAAAAACTGACTGCCAGTAAAGCAAAAGAGAAAAATTAATTGGAAAAAAATGTGCCCTGATTGCTCTGAAGATTCATAGCATATGTTAGAAAGGGAGCAGAAGAATGCTTTAATGAACTATTCTGACATACAGTAGTATTTCTCTCTCTCTAGACATATAGAAAAATATGTGTTGTGTTTTTCTTCTTCCATGCTGACATAAGTAAAAATAATAGAAAATACCTTTTTTATAAAAATTTAAACTCTAATGATACCCCCAAACTAACAGGCTACAGCTTATCATTAACTTCCTCTGCCTGGTTTGGTCAGGCTGATTTCTGTAGCAGTGAATCAATCAGCTAATATTTGTTCAGTCTTTCCTGGCCCAGGTACTAGGAGGATTCTTAAAGAAGTACGGAACATGGTTCCTGCTCTTGGAATTCTTGTAGTCTTACTGAAGAAAGACAATCAGATCTCAAGCCTGAGAAACTGGATGGCACAATTCTGATGCTTATAAAAGCTGAGATACAGGGGAATCTGTCTAGTTATAGCAACTCCACTGGTATCTATGAAGGTGGGAGATTGAAGAATGGACAGAATTTGGGTAGGTACAGAGGTGTCCCAAGTTACTCTAATGCAGGGGGCAGTTGCCTAGGCTGAGGCAGGGGAGGGAAGCCAAGCCTGACGAGAATGGAGAGTTTTGTTTTTTTGTTTTTTGGGGTTTTTTGAAAGAGAGTGGGGGGGAGAAAGCACATGTACAAGCAGGGGGAGGGGCAGAAGGAGAGAGAGAGAGAATCTTAAGCAGGCTCCATGATCAGCGCAGAGCCCAGCATGGGCTGGCTAAGATCATGACCTGACTGAAACCAAGAGTCTTAACTGACTGAGCCACCCAGGTGCCTATTTATTTATTTATTTATTTATTTATTTATTTATTTATTTATTTATTTAAATTCAGAATGGAGAGTTTGTATAGCAGAATGGAGGTGTAGGAGTTCAACTGACCTGGACCCCGAACACCAGACAAAGGCATTTATATCACATAGGATGTATCTCACATTCATTAGGTACTATTACTGTCTGTCTGGACTTTGAGCCTTTATATTATTTCTATTATCTCTTTTCTAGGTGCTGGAGATCTAGGGGAGAGAGGATGCAACTTTTAGGAAGATCAGTCTGGTGGTTTGTGAAGATTGCATTGTCCGGAGACTGGCTGCAGGGAAGCTAAGAGGCCGCTGTCCTGCCCAGAGAAGAGGTGGGCCTATCTGGCCTGAGACGGATACAAATGTGATGAACGCAGAAAGGAGAATGTGAACCACCGTCATTCAGCAAAAAATGTTTGACACTTTCTATGGGCCATCCTGGAGGTATAAAGTCAGTAAGACTTGGTGGGGGAGGGGGAAGCTCCTGGTCACGTTGAGTCCAACTAGTAAGACCACACTGCCAGTACTCTAGGAAGCACAGATGCAGGCTCTATTACACCTGGCTTGATGACAAGAGATTGACATGGCAGGAGGGTGCGGAAGTGCCAAGAAAGCCTTCACCTGGAAGATGATGTTTAGCTGGGCTGGGAAGAATAAGCCAGATTTTGCCAGGCAGAGAAGAAATACAACACAAAAGCAGAGGATCAAAATTAATTGGGAGGATAGGCAAGCATTAAAGATAGAAATTTTAAAATTGAATGAAAGAGGTGCCACCATCTTTTTTGGTCTTATACATCCTGTCTCTGGGACTTTCTAAACAAAAAATTTTTTAAAATTAAAAAAAAAAATAAAGGAGGAAGAAGAGATCCCATACTTTGGCAAACACCAAAACACTCAGAAATAAAGAGGCAGAATACTTCAGTCCGTGGGACAAGGCTTCAATGCTCATGCTTCATTGGGAAGAACAATCATGGGAAGTGAGGCAGGAATGTCAGTCAAGGTAAAGGCATGCATTTCTGCAAGGACTGCTGTGTCACAATAAGCCACGAAGTGACACAGCCAGTGGCTGGGGGCGGGCAGGATGTCTCCAGACAAACTGTATGAAAAACCCTATCTCAGAACAATACATCAAAGGGAGGAATCGAGAGAAAGTCCCCCTCCTGCCTCCCTCCTGCCTCCTCTTTCTTGTTTATCAAACAAACACCATGGGAGTTCTCTTCCTATATTTCTGGGTGGGGTCATCTGGCCTTTTTTGGCAACAGACCTCTTTTAAGGAAGCAGATCTGGTAACCTATGGTGTGGCATTTTATGGGCTTAGAAGTGGAGGAAGAGCTGAAGACCACACAGAGGCAAGCATGAGATCCAACACAAAGTCCTTTGCCTCAGCTGCCGGTCCAGGGGCCGAGGGCCCAGGGCACAGGTGAGGCCAGGAGAATCTGATGAGGCCAGTAGGATGTGTGCTATATGAGATATCTTATTACCACACATATATCTCATAATTATTGTGATCAGTCCTTCCCTTATGCCAAGAGATTTCCAGACCCACTGCTTCTTTGATTTCTCCTTTCTATATCCCTGATGTGCCCAATTATTTAGATATTTTACAAAGGCAGCTTGAAACAAGGAAAAGCAAAACCCATGTCAGTTAATGCTGTCACTTAGAAGCTCACTGACAAAACTGGCTAAGCAGGATAGAGATGAATAAGGACAGATGGCATTAAATAAAAGGATGGGAGAGAAGCAGGTTCCAGATCATATTTTCTTAAGCTTAGTTTTCAGCAAAATCTTTTCTTACTTTTAAATGGAGGGCAGTGGAGGACTGTGTCCATTTCCTTGAAACCTGATCCCTTTCTTAGGAGAAAAGCAAGGACACAGGGTGAGACTGACCTGGAAGGAGAGGCACATAGGTGCTCTGAAACACAAACGTTTACAGTCAGTGCTCCTGGGAAAGCATGGTTAAGGCTGCCATGAGATGTGCAGAGGTGGGATATTTCAACTATTTCCCTCACAGCCTGATCTGACATATTCATAAACTTGTAAACTACTGTAGGACAAACCCTTTATTTATTTATTTTAAAGATTTTATTTATTTGACCGAGAGAGACAAAGCGAGAGAGGGAACACAAGCAGGGGGAGTGGGAGAGGGAGAAGCAGGCTTCCTGCTGGGAGGGAGCCCGATGCGGGGCTCAATCCCAGGACCCTGGGATCATGACCTGAGCCGAAGGTAGACGCTTAACGACTGAGCCACCCAGGCGCCCCGGACAAACCCTTTAAAACAAAAAATAAGACAACAAAAAACAATGCTTTGAGTTCATACACAGAAATGGTCTATGTGGCAACCAGCCCATAAAAAATGATCACAAGCCTTCTCTGGAAGGTTGCTCTTAAACTTGAAAATGATGACATTATCAGCAATTGGGTGGAAGCCTCATGTCCATCTGAACTGTGGCTCTGCTGGTTCCTTCCTAATTAAACTCCGTCCCGCTGACTCTATAATTCAGCAGGGGCCTATAGATGCTCCTCTTTTAAGTTAACTCAGGCTGTCTGCTCATTCAAGCTAATCCTTATAGTGCTTTGCAAAGAATGAAAAGGAAAAGATTAGCAGTACCTGAAGCTACAAATGGAAAGCCTGTGGGTGGAAGATAGAGGGCTCCCTTTTGTCGGAGCCCTCTATTTTTGAGGCTGTTCAATATAACTAATTAGAAGAGAGAATTCTGAATGTACCATCTTGCCATGCTTATAGTTAAACAACCCATGTAATTACTCTTTTTGTCTAAAATTTGGTATCAGGTAAAATTTTACCTGATGTTTACATCTTTTTTTCAAAATTCGGTCATTTTCATACCACCTTAACAATTTTTGCTATATCTCTGGATCACTTTTAAATTGACTTACTTTGAAGAAAGTAAATGGCTCTTCAGCCTTATCTAAGCGATAATATTGTGAAATTTCAATTTTGATGTGCTCTGTATGTACATGCATTTGTGCACGTATCCTTTCTAAAATGTATAATCTCATCTCATCCAAATTTCCTAGGGTCTTGGAGAATAACAAAGTATGGAGTGGCACTCTTCAATTCAAGTACTGAAATAACAAAATGGAAAGAAAAACAGAATCAGGGAACCTCTACATTCCTAGAAACATATGGGAGTCCGAACTGATGTGTTTCTTTGTGAAAAGGAAACATTGCAATATTTGCCACCTGACCTGAATCTTTAATCTATCTGTGCACTAAGAAATACTCTCTCTAAATCTATATCTATATTCACCCTTATTCATCTTTTTATGTTTTTGTCTAGTAAATCTATAAATAACCAACCAAAAAATGTTAAATCACATCCTATATAAAAGCATCCCATGTTAGACAATTTGTTAAAAGATGGCTCATGAATTTAGTTGGTTAATTTGAGGAGGGTAGGGAAGAGCTCTTTGACATGTGGGTTGCTATCACAGAAACTCATTTCCTGGAGATCCAGTCACTGAACCTGGCACACTGGGCATGTTTGTTATGTGGATCCATCAGAGCCATCTGAATGGATCCTTTCCAGAATCTGCACTCAGACCTCCTGCCACTTTTTCTGCAGGGAATCTGGCCCCAGTTCACTCTCCTTAGAGAGAGTCACATAGAAAAGCAGATGTAGACAGACTCTTAAACATCAGCACATTCATTAAAATAAAGTATGGTTTAGATTCAGAGCAGGAAAACAGAAGGAGTTCCACTTTCAGAATAGTGGTGTGAGGAGCTCCATGAAATCATTCCCCAGCAACCGTAACTAGTGAAAACTATTTTTAAAAGCAATCATGTAGTCTCTGGAAATCATCCTAAGGACAAACATCAATTAAAAACATTAATTCAAGAAACTCTACTAAATCTTAGAACAGTAATAGTCTGTGGCCCTTAAGGTACAGCTACAAGTCATGCTCTCCCTTCTCCTGCCTTCTAGCAGCTCAGAGAAGCTCCACTCTGCACAGGTGTGGCCAAGAAGAAGGGTCCCTTTTGCCTTGTCTCCCAGTCAAGGGATACAGTATCTCACTGAGAGGGAATGGCCACCGGCATTTCTCATTCCCTTCATCAATGACTTGCAGAGAATAAGTTCCTGGCAAGTGTGGACAAGATGTTGCCCCTTCCTCTCCCTGAACCTCCACTCATAAGGGAGAGGTTCTCTGTCAGGCACAGAAGTGCAAGAATACTGGAGCCCCAATTGCTCTTGTCTCAGCTTGCTCTTAGGGTGGAGATCCCATGGGGGGAGAAACACACTGAGAAGACCAAAGGCCCCTGCCTAGCACCCTGCTCATAAGGCAGGGCTGTCACCCTCGTCCCACCTCTGGAGCAGTGGCTCAGAGATTTTTGCCAGGGAGTAAGGCAGGCCACAAGAAGAGAGAGCTCTGAAGCTCATCCCAAAGGAACTGACTTTATTTGAAACAGAGTGTCAACAAGTTCAAGCCTAAGGATGCTCTCAAAAACATCAGAGATGTTGGTGGCAAGCAATGAAGAGGCAGCTGGTAGCTCTCTGAGAACAAGAAATGAAACTATAGGGCAGCTAGTTTACGAGAGAGAACAAAGGAAAGAGGCAGGTAAGACAGGCCATTTCTGGGGTCAGAACACCCCTTGAAGACTGTGCCTGCAAAAGGGGCTGGATTGAACAGGATCAGACTGAAAAGCCATTCAATACCCCAGGCATTGTCAAAGACGGTAGTGAAATCAGCCAGCAATTAGGGGAAACTATCAGCTTGGTGGGATACCGGGTGAGGCAGACACCTTAACAGATAAACCAAGGATAAAAACAGTCAAAGAGGGCCTTGCTTAAACCACTGTCATCCCAGGGTAACAGCATGTGCATGGTCAGAGGCTCTACCTTCTGAGAAGCAGTACCATAAGGACCATACTATGGGAGAAACAGATTTCACTAAAATGAGCCAGCCAAATCAACAAGTAAATACCATCAAAAACAATCCACAGAGAGGGGAAGGAGATCGGTATCCCGAGTTGGTACAATGTATTGTCTAAAAATGCCCAGTTTTCAACAAAAAAACTATGAGACGTGAAGGAAACAAGAAAGTATGACTAATACACAGGGAACAAAGTTAAGAAACAGGAGCTGTAAGGGGACACAGATACTGGATTTAACTAAAGACTTCAAAACAAAAAAGGAAACTACGCTTTAAAAAGTAAAGGAAGGTACAAGGACAATGTCTCATCAATAGACAATGTTGATAAATATTTTTGAATTAATTTGCAACTGAGCTTTGTCTTTTCTCTCCATTTGTTTATTTAATCATTTACATCAGTAAGAACTCAGATATTTATTTTATTTTATAATTTGGGTTATAATCCAATACTCCTTCACTTTGTTGCTCCAATTATTCCAGGCTTGTCCATTGGGAGCTCTTTGGGTTGGCTCCTTTGATATGCCCCATGAATACAGGGTTTGGTAGGTTTTGGTGTTTTTGTTTTGTTTGTTTTAGCACTTCTTTACTTTCTAGCACTAAACGATGCTCCAGAATCTTCATATATTTCCTGCCCAGTCCCTGAATCAGCCATTTTCCCCCAAGGAATTCTGGTTCCTTTTATTGGAAAACGGTGCCAGAAACCATGACCTGAAATCTAGGTTTCTTCTCTGAGTAACGAAGATGTTCTAAAATTAACTGTGGTGATGGTTATGCAACTTTGTGAATATACTGAAGAACACTGAATTGTACACTCTAAATGGGTGAATTGTATGATATGCAATTCTCAATAAAGCTCTCATTAAAGAGAA